CACAATATAAGTATACATAAAATATTTATACACTACTACTGGTGGAGTATTACTCTTTCGCGATTTAATATACTCACTACGTGTACGTGCGGCGCATTGCAAGTAATTAATATTAAACGCTGTCAGCAGTCGTGTCGGTACTTCGAACGCGTTTTGTCGTACACGTCCGGCCCGACTCGTCGTTGGAAAAATAGACAAAGAAAAAAAGAAAAATAGCTAATTGACCATATTGCTATTATCGCGACGACCTAATAACTTGGCGTTCTTTAGATGTTCCAATAGATAATATGCCCGAGCGCGCGCGTTCACGGAAATTCATGTACGAAACGCGTATTATAATCGTAGTGCGATCGTGCGATTTACGGTTTGTAAAAGGTTAGGATTTATTGTAGGTATTATTGGTGCACCGGACGTCCTACAACCGTTACCAGTAAGACGTTGAAAAAAACTAAACGCCAGTTCAGATGTACCCATCGGAAACGCACCGGGAAATCAACGTGAATTTGCTGTAATGCGCAAACAAAGGCAAATTAAAAAAAAAAAAAAATCAACGTAAACCGATTATCGTAATACTAAGCGTACACATTGGTGAGGTGTTACTGATCAAACGTATCAAACATTTCCACAGCAATACGTCTTCGGTCCGGCTGTGTTCGTATTTAAAAAACATATTACAATGGTCGGCTAATTTAAAACGATGCAGCCAACGATCTTGCGCATTTGCGCGCCGATTTGTTTTTTAAACGATATTCATATTTTTTTCCGACCGCGTGTAAAATATTCAATGGCTGTACAATATTATATTTTCGAGTTCTGTCGAAGCAGCGCTGCGGTACACGGTTAACACAATCCATTTGGACGCACGAGAAAATTGATTACGTTTATGATTTATCACGCGGCTCGAAACAATAATTGCCACGGATGGATATAATGTCGTAATCTTTACGATAATTGTCTTCAATAAATATTCCGATGTTCAGTAACGGTACAGTAAGACTGGTCGTAAATATCGAAATGAGTCATCTGAAAACGTCGCCGCGTCGTACGCGATGTATACATACATTTTATTATTTCGTCCGATGCGATTACGTACATAATGTAGAGTGTGTTGATTTATCGGATAACGCAAATAATTGTCTGTACTAATACCGCATAACCGTGGTGATTTTCTGGAAGAATAAAAAGAAAAAAACGTTAGGACTATACATCGTTATTGCGTACTACGCTTAAAGGTGAAAATCGAAAATCTTTAAAAAAAAAAAATTCCATCGGAATCCAAAATAATGTATGTCTGACGATTGAAAATAAAAAAAAAAAACAAAAATCCAAATAATAATTATTATTTGCGACTAATGGTTTTTTTTCATTTTTTTTTTTTTACTCTTGCGCCACACCGAACCCACTTTAGATATAATACCCAATAATATAATATATTAAACGCAAACGCATAACATATAATGTATATTACGTACACACATAGTATGGTTGGTCCTCGTTTCTTTGGTCTGCCGCAGCGAGAATAATACGCATAGTATATGTATTTTTCCTTGGTGTATAATTTAAAAAAAAAAAAACTAATGAATGGTTGGGCGGCAATCCCGTGGCGTGCAGTGGGAGGATGGAGTCCTGCGCACACACATATGCACACATGCATATATATGCACGTATATACATATATATATATATATATATATATATATATATATATATATTACTCACGACCCGGAGAGCTTGACAAGCCGGCGAGGCGGTCGTAAAAACTGTAATTTAACTGCTGCTCCGAGCCCCGCGCGTATAGTTAGCTGATAAATTAAAAAAGAAAAAAACCGAGTGAACGAGAAAAAACTAAGAGTCGTAAAAAAAAATTACCCAAAAACCGCGGGGAAGTAGAAAGTTTTTATTTTTATTTTTTTTTTTTAAGTAGCCGAGGTAAAATCGATTTTTAAATATCCAATTTCATTTTGCGGTTCAGCATCACCACGGCGGCGCGACGTTACAATTACAGAGTTTTCGTTTTTATACAGTTGGATACGCATTATGATATATTATTGCTCGCGGAAATACGTTTTCCTAATGTCTGTGTGCAATTCACTTGGAGTATTTTCCTCGACACAATTAGAACAGTATTATGCTGATCGGTAGATTTTTATTTATATTAATTTATTTATTTGGAATGGATGTTATGGCGAGGAAAAATAAAATGAGACTGAAAAACGAGTTTGAATACATAATGTTACAATCGAAATGGTCCCTAATAGGCCATCGTAGAGGTTATTATTAATTATCATATGAATATTGAGGTGTAATGTTGTCAGTTATTCGTAGTGATTTTTCGTACGCCAATTTACATTATCGTTAGCAATTGGATATGTCTGACTAAACGGCTTTTCTTAAGTTATTTGTTAATACTATGCACAGTATTTGGGTGTATGCTTTATACTTGCTTACAATAATATGTGTAAATTGTTTTCGAAACTTGTACGAAAATCAATTTAATACATTTTGAAAATTTATGGCTATTCGCGTAGGAACATCATACATGTAAACGTAATGGTACAAATATAGCCGTAGGCTTGAATGTTAGTATACTACAATATGTTTTGACAACTAGAAATAACTATTATCGTCGACGAAGGAGTGTAAGATCGGTATAATAAAAAATAAACGATATTCAAATAAACTCTAGTACATTAAACACAATCAAATCTGTGATCTAAACAATATGTACAATATTATGTTTAGTATTTTATTTTATAAATCTCAATAATGTTTAGAATTATGTTGAAATACTCTAGAATGGAATAGTACAGCTAAGAAAAAGGAACATTCGATAAGAGAAAAAAAATGTGATTTTTGGACTGTTGAACTGTACATAAGACATATAATAAAATAATCATATGTTCGAAAATGAATACATATGCTCGTATGTATAAATATTTATTTTACGTCTTTAAATTAATCTAAATTCTACGTAATGATTAATCATTTCACACATGTTTTTAATATATTACAATATAATACAGTGCGTTAAAAATTAATATTTTCAGTTACATTTTTTCGATTTGTTGTATTATTTATAGTTATATCGCATGTGATGTTTATAGTAAATTATTTCTTATTTCTTACACAATGTCAGTAAGTCCCAAATTGAGTTTTGGTTATTTTTTTGACCAATTTCATTTATTATTTTATCATTTAGTATTCATATGAAATCATATTTTTATTTTAAGCTATTAATAACGAGGAAAAACATGAAATAATTTTCAAATATTTCAGATTTATGTATTGCTTAATGTGATAAAATAAAATCCAATTCGTAATAACGGCGTACAATTATCGGAACACCGTTTAAATCAATTTATGGTAATGATTCAAGAGTGCTATAGTAGTTGTTGTAATACGAATGTAACAATCGTTATAACTTATGATTTCGATGATTAATGGTAATTTTTTAAAGTTTCGTGTTGTATTACGAACGAGAAAAATGATAAACTATAATTTTAGAGTCTTAAACGTTTTATCGATTATTTTTAGTGCTTCAAAAGTGTTTTTTATGTCATTTTTATTATGTCTATTAAATCCTTAACGCTTGTTGAGCCGTAAACAAATATTTCGTACGGACATTTCGATTTTTTTATTTTTTTTATTTTTTTAATGTCAATATCTGACACGGAAATTAAGACCAACAATATTGATTGCCGTCGTTAAACCAAAACGTATTGGATACCCGAACGCTGTGACGTATGCACGCACGCATAATAATTGTCGGGGAAACCGTAGAAGAAAAAAAAATTCGTTTACCACTTCAAACGTACCTACTGTACTCCCGCGTTCGTGAAACCTAACGCTGTACAAAGCGCTGGTGCACCTACGGATCACCTAACTTCAACACATCCCTGCGGCACACACTTACTAACGTTATTAAAACGTTGTACGTATCGCCTAACTAAACTAACCTAACTAATTTTGCACCACTGCGGCAATCGACGGAAAACGACCAAACCATTGCTGATGAACTACTGTAACGGGACGCGCGACGAATGTTATACGGCAAAAGGTTGTTTCTGCGCTATCGCAAAGGACTCGGGTTTCCGGTTCATCCGGTGCGATATTCGCGATTTGATTCGTACCGGGACGTGCGTATTGTACCACACTCCCGGTGCGGGACATGTTACCGACGGTGTTTCGGCGTAACGCATCCAATTGGAATATCGAAAAGTTTAACGGATTTTCGGACATGTTTGAACCGACGACAAATCGTGCGCGGTACAATAGCATTTGCCGGCATTCATTATGTTTATCTGATGAGAATCGTTTCCGATCAAATATTATTTACAGGCGTTTGTTCGTTGAACGGTCTTACGAACTGCGTCCGTTCGCGGCGGCTATCGGGCCGTCGAAACGTTACCCACATCGTTATCGGCTGTGTCACGTGTATTGTACGGCGGCCGAGGAATGTTATAATTGTCCGCCGCAAGGCGTCGTTTCGACGCGAACGTGACGAACGCGGTCGGAACACGATGACGGACGCGTCGGTCGATCCGGTGCGATTACGCGGACAATCAAACAATGGTGACCATATGGCGGGCGATTAATAATGCGTTTGGCGGCCGCCGGTAGCTGTGGAATATTGATCGTTTTGATCCGTGGCCGCCGAGAGGTCGAACGGACGGACGGAGCGGCGGGGTGTTATCTCTCGGCGGCCGTAACGGAACACGCATAGGAATTATAAAGACGTTGACGCAAGACGTTGCTGCGACACGACCGTCGTTTTGCGCGCGCGCGATTAAACCGACGGCGGACGGATTGCCGGGGGTGTGTGTGTGTGTGGGGCGGGGGTGGGGGTGAGTCGATCGGAGGCCAATAATCGCTGCGATTACCATGTGCGCGTGGGACGATTAACTGTCGATAACGCGCGTCTCGGGCGACAATAATACGACAATTACCGGCCGATTAGACGGCAAAAGCCGACCGGGGGTCAGCCGTTTAAATAGCCCACGACCGCCGACGGCCCGGACACTTGGACGGTGCGCGCCGGCCCCGAAACGTAACGGAGGAGTCCGCCGCGGGCAGCCGGGCGAGGAGACGACGACGACAGCACCGAGACGTCCAACGGTGGCCTGGCTCGGGCCGTGGTGAGTACTCTTTGACTTGGCAAATTTCGGTACTGGTTAATGCGTTATTTTTCGACAAACACTACTTACTCTTGCTCTTACACTCGTATCGTCGAACTCGATCGTTTCGCGTCGAAAACACCCTCCGGGTTCGCACGTCGTGATACCACATACCGGTGGTGGTCGTTGCCGTTTTACCGGTCGTCCGACGGCCGTCAACCGCTGTCGGGAAACCGACCGGGAAAATCGGTCGTAAACATTTATGAAATAACGTTTCCGCGCCGGTCGCCGGTACCATTCGAGTCGTTTCGATTATTTTATTTTTTTTTTTTTTTACGACGGCGCGCGCGCGTCACACGGTGATGATTTATCGTCAAGCGCACGCATCAAACGCCCCGGGAAGCTTTGCTGTAATAATAATATCCGGACGCGACGCTTTTTTTTCCGCACGTGCACCTACATCATGTACTCGTGCACACGATACGGAGTTTTCACGAGACGTTTTCCAACACATAACTTCACGTCAATCGACCGGTGTGACGTCGAAAACCCGTGTTCAACAAATTCGTTTCATTTTTTTTTTTCCGTTTCCCCGTGCACACACACACCGTATGCAAACGAAAATATTTCCACGCTGCAGTCGCTCTGCCGATTTTAACGACACCGCGCGGTCCACAATTTTGTTGTGTTTAAATCGCACGATCGCGGCCGAGTACCGTAAAATAAACTCGTATTCCGATAAACCGGCACGCGCGTGATGTACGATGTGTACAAGTCTCACGCGGTAAATTTGGTATTCGTCAAATTTTATATTTTCACAAGATTCATGTGCAACTCGTATGGAGAATATTCTACTATAATGTTTTGTAACATCCAAAGATCTAATATAGTTTATGCGTTTTAAAAATGTCTCGTCTTTACGGTTTAATAGTAATGTCATAGGGGTAATAAAACAACTCGATGTTTAATAATGATGTTCCCGTAACGATGATATTGGTAATTTATTCTACTTGCTTTTATTAAACGAATTTAACATCAATTTTTTTATTTATTAAATACTTTGGTTATGTTCACATTGATGAATTTAATTAATCTCGACGTTATAATTTATTTTGTATTAGTTAATTTTATTACAAATAAATTCATATTCGTGGCTAGGAAAAATAGTGTTCGTATAACAATCATTAATTTAGTATTGTATGAACAATTATTTTGGAAATAACTGAATCACGCGGGGAAAGGAAAAACATTTAAAATTGAAGAGAAATCATTCAAAGGAGTTTAATATAGCAGTATAGGATTTGCGATTTTTTTCCGCGGAGTACCGAATGAAAAAATACTTTACTATAGATGTTAAATAATATGGACCATGGTTGTCTGACATGCATGCACGTCTGATGAGCGTTTAGATAAAACGTTATATTTTTCACGTTATAAATTTTTTGTTAATGATAATAAAACCTAATAATTATTGTTTAATGCAAACCATAAAAAGTAATAGCTGTGTACACGGGGTTTTATTATACGCGACATTATTACGCATATTATTTTGTAATTCGTTTTTGTTCGTAAAAGTAAACATTGTTCCGAGGCTCTATTGCATGAACATATTTGTTTTTAAAACAAACCATGAAACGTCCTGAAGTCGAAATTATGAAAAAAAAAAAAAATTAATTAAAACAAAATGATAAAAACTCCGTTAATAGTGAATATAACGATGTTTAATTACAACCGGTAATTAAACACGTCGCTGTAACACGTAAGATACGCTGTGCGTTAAGAGGACATTTTTCGATATTCATCAGGGTCTCGAAAAACTGCCGGCCTTTTTACGTATAATTCTGGTCAACACCGGTTTGTAGTCCACGTTCCAGTACTCAATAACAATGATATTACTACTATGCTACGCTACGAAATCGAATGCGTGCGCGTGTCCGTCGCGTTATCACTTGCCGTCGAAACGTCATCGTCGGCGTTGGAACGGGCGCGCGGAATCCATTGCGCCCGTTCGCCGCGGCAACACTCTCTTCCATCGCGCCCCGGCCAGCGCCATTGCTGCCGTTGTTGCACACAAACGCATATTTATACGTATACGCACGCACGCACACACTCATATTTCTATACGAGTATGGTACAATAGCGAGACCCCGGCCGCCGCCTTCACCGCCAACGATACGACAACCCTCCGAAACAGGACATTCGCCACCGACCCACGCGGTGCACATATCTACTGCGGCGGTGTGCGCGGCCGAGACTGCCGAGTGAGAGAGAGCGAGAGAGTGGTGCGCAAACATAAGCGCGTACGCATCAGAGGGTCGGAAGAATATAAAAAAAAAAAAAAAAAAGTTGCACAGAGGGATTGTTTTGTTTTGTTTTTTTTTTCCTCCGTTTCCTTCTGTGCGCGTATCCGCTCCCCGTTTTCCATCGTAATAAATCGGCCCCCGCAAAATCCCGCGCGCAGTACCGTACCGGGACTCGATCTATTTGCACACACTCCGCCGCGCTCGACTCGCAACATCTTGCACAACCGCACCGCCGGCTTTTGCGTTCGACCCGGCGCAATCCGACCGACGATACCGCACGGTATTCGTACGGTTACAGGTATTGTTCGGTATTTATTTTTCGGTCGTAACCGCAGCGCGTTCGCACTCGTCGCAGCAGAGTTACCCGTGCGCTTCGAGTAACGTTCGCCATTAATACGCGATGTTTGTTTTTCCCTCAGGCACTACTACCCCACCGTCTGCGTACGCGACCGGACCAGCATTGTTATGCGCGCGGGCACCAGGTGCAACTCGCAAATCCGTCGTCTCCGCGGCCGTACTACGCACGCGTGCACGCGGTGCGTACGTGTTTCGGACGTTTGGAGAATACGAATCAACAGATTACGTAATCCCCCCCCCCCCCTGGGGACATGTGCGCGTCGCGGCCGGCCAACACTACTCAGCGGAACGGGACGGAAAAAAAGAAAGGTAACCATTTTCCCTTAACTCGTAAGTTCACGCGCGCGCGGTTATGAATCTCCAAGTGTTGTCGCAACGCGTTTCCGTCGGGTGTTTCGCGCGACGCACGACGTGAACGCGATCGGGCCGACTTGCGACAAACGGCGTACGACGCGTGTTCCGGCGTCGTTTCGCGATCGCGATCCACATGATCGCCGTGAATTTCGCGATCGGTCGTTCCGGGGGCGAGGACCGTTTCGCGCGCGCACGTACACGTATTCACGCACGTTTGCACCGAACCCTTTTGTCGTTCGTAACCGCCGTGCACGTATGTATATACACATATTTTTCTTTACATAAATGTGCGCGCGCGTAGGTGTTGCATACGTGTGTACGCGTTGAACTTTATCGCTCGGGCCCGCGGGTGGGGGGGAGGGATGAAAAGCCACTCCTACGAAACCGCGTATCGATCGGCGCCGGGACGCCGCCCACCGACGCGTCCGCAGCGGCTAAAGCTTCGGGCGCACGCGCCCCCGCTGCTTTTGCGGTACGGGGGTGTGAACGCCGTCGTCGACGGTCCTTTGCGCCGTGCCGATCCGTACCCCGTCGCTGGCAGCCGTCGGCGGTGGACGTGCGTCGTCGTCGTCGGCAGCAGTCGCACAAGTATCCGTACCGCACGCGTACACTTCCGCACGAATCCGTGTCCGCCGACGCAGACAGCACTTTGCCAGCGAACACGGCACGTGCGCGCGCGGAAAGCAGTAAAAGTCTTTGTTTGAATTAAAAAAATAAAAAACAAATCCGCAAAGGTAATATATCTTAGTCTATTTTATTAGATATTTATGTAGGTATTTGATTTTTGTTGCCGCGGTTTCAATTTTTTTTTTTTTTTTTGTATACTTTTCTCGATTTCGCGTTCGCTATGTTTAACGCGCACGTCTTCCCCTGAGGTTTTATTCGATTTTATTTCGTCCTCCTCCCACCCCCGTACGAAATGGCCGCGATCAAACATGGCCACTCCATTTGTCGCGGCAACGACACACAACCTCGGTATAACATACTAACCCTTTTCGTTTTCGTCGCAACACATGTGGATTCGGGTGCTCAGGGTTTTCGTACGCGTCACCCTCGTCCTTTTATTCTTTTTCATTTTTTTTTTTTCCACGCGCGATAAATATATTATCCTTTACACCCGCTAAGCACACATGCACGCGCATCAGACATAAATATGCGTTTACGCTGCGCGAAGCTGGTCCATTGAAACGGACGCGCTATTGAACGTCCGCTGCGAACGTTCGAGTACCCTGGGTTTTTTTATTCGATTTCTATTTCGTTGATCCTTTTTTGTACATATATGTGTGTGTGTGTGTGTGTGTGTGTATGTGTGTACAGGTATACGTATGGATTATTTTAAACACCGTCGCTCTTTTCTCCGTTTCTAGATGTGTGCCCAGAACTCCGTCCGCAGCATCAGCAGCAGCAGCAGCAACAGCAGCGATGTCGAAACAATGCGTGACACCCTGTACGTATACTAAATGTATCCTGAGTGCACTATAAACTGTCCGGTATACCTTCAGTATACGTAACAGGATGTCACACCGATCTTCGTGAAGCGCCGTCTCTGGGGATTGGTTCCGCAGCTTCCGCGGCCGACCGCCAACACCGTATACCAATAATTGTTCCGTGTACGTACCGTGTTGTGACGATCGTGTACAATGTATTTTATTAGACACGTATTACAAAATCAATAAAATAAAAATAAACGATAAATCACATGTTTTTCGATATACGTGCTAGGATTTCGTTTAGAAGTATTGTTAGTATAAGTGTTATAATTCATCAGTATTTTAAATCAGAAAAAATGTTTAATAAACTGTTCATACTACATGTTTAATGATCGGTATAGCTTTAATACACAAATTAATGTTTTGATCGGCAAGCCTACTCGGTTGTTTTTTTTTCCTCATTCGATATTATAATATGTGTGTGTACAATATGTATGTAATATGTGTGAACATTTTTTTACAAACCATGCATGTAAATAAATATTTGTTACTAGATAATAATCGGAAATCAATATAAACTACGGTGTGTGTATTATAAATACGTTCGCGAAACTTGTTTGTCTCGCTGAAAAATTGCACAATGAACGATACATTTGTATACTGTTTACGATACGATACGATATGGAAAACGAATAGGTTTACTATTAATATTATTTATATACAATATCAATAGCGAACAGAGTGGGCTTGCGTGCGATTTAAACATCACGCGTCGCTGATTTCTAAAAACTGGCGCGGTTTAAAGGTTATAGCTGTATACGTTTTTATATATTATACAAGTAGAGGTTTTAAGCTACAAACGTTATGCAGTTTTTTTTTTTTTCTTAAAAAGTGTTTGTAATTTTTTTTTCTCGATCAATCGTATATTAATGTTGGGTTTAAAATAAAAAATAATACCTATTGCGGTGGGGTGGTGTACACGTTTTTTGAGTCCTGCAATGATGATCGACCAATACATGTACTATTATTATAATACCGTATTCCGACGTATAAACATATAATTGTAAAAGCGGTATGATTTCAACCATGTCACAACGATTAACTTAACTGTGATCCGAACAACACAGCTGTTGGTACACGTACATCGTCTGTGTATATATGTACATGTTTATGGATAAGCGGTAAGTCAGTGAAAATGATTTGAAAAGTAATGATTATACGACAATTGTACAGCAGTAGGTGGGCTTATATAAAAGTTAGATAGTCATAAACAGTATCGAAAATATTATTAACATTAACACAAAAGAACATATATTCGGTGAGATCTCGACGGATCGGAAAAAAAGTCTCCTTGAAAATTTCTATACGCCCGCACTCACTGTTTATCCGATAACTAGAAACGAAATAGTTGACAACTTGAGTTATTTCCTCCTCTTGGACTTTTCGAGGTTTTATTGCGTTTATATTCATCTACAACGTACATTCCGTTCAATGACGAATCATGTAAAGGTACTATTTTAATATTTATGAACTTGCGTGCAATTAATACTCAAATTTCAAAAAAAAAAAAAAATAAAACCGTGTTAATGATTTAGGTTTTATTATGTACGGAATATAATTCTTATGCGATAATGACGTACTTATAAGTAATAACTAAATACATTAAAAAGTATAATGTCAACCGTGTGCATGCACCCGTAGGTAATTGGATACAATGCGATCATCCGAGTATAAATTATATATTAACACACGAAATATTCCGAAACGATCCAAACCAGTTTTCCAAAAAAAAAAAAAAAAACCCATCTATAAATACTGTAAGGTTATTAGTGTGTATATTAAATTATAAAAATATTATTTATGACAACGAAGAATAATTGTAAACACAAATGTATCGGGCTTTTTATATAAAACATACCTATACAATACGTCTTGGTGCATAATTTATAAGTTATGCGTCAAATATTTTAAGTTATTATACTTTCGTAGAAATGAAATAATTAAATTAAATCCAACGCCAAGCTAGAGTTATAAACTAATAAAGCGGTCTGAAGTTCTCTCGTTGCAATGTATCACCGTAGTATTCATTCTTTAGAATGATTGTAAAATGAGATTAAATTTATATGTCAACCTCACGATAAATAATAAATATATTATTTATTTCAGCCATGTAATTTTTAATTACGTTTTTTAATAAATAAATGTGTATATATATATAAAAAAAACGATTAGACTTTTGTTAATATTTCTTTTCACGTTATAAACCAACACATGGGAATATTTCATATTATTATTGAAAAGATTATGTTACATGTTATTTTGGAAAAAACAATCGATCCTACGTGGAAAATCGATTAATTTCTGCAACTGAAATGCGATCAAGTCACATGTTCAACGGAACATAATTCAGTAAAGATATTTGAACGTAATAGTGGGATGGGTGTACATCGGATAGTTTACGAACAAACGATTTATCCTACACGTATTTTATTATTAAGCATAAATATATTGTAACGTATAGTATATATATGTTGTGCATACGCTCGATACAAAGGTAACGTATTTATGGGTATACATTTATCTACATGTGCATTATGCGGAGCTAAGAAAATATACATATAATTTATCTCCCGATAATTAAGTTATTAAACCAACCGGATATTATTTGTAATAAAAATGCATTATGCATTTTATCACGTTTATTTTAATTATTTATCGGCGGTATATGCTAAGTAAATGTTTTTGGAAGGCATTCCTAAATTATTATGTATGCGCTATAGCGTATTAATGTTGTTAACGATTTTTAATTTTTCAATCGTAAATAATACGTTCCACTCGTATACTGTTTTGAATAACACAACTATACAAAGATAATATTAAATAATAGATCGAATTCAATAATAACTATACGAAGCAAAAACAAATTCAAGTATAGCTATCTGAAAATTATTAAACATCATGCGCGGTATAATGGTATATGAAATTATGTGTAAACGATTATGGCTCATTCCGCTTAACGTAAATGCTCTCATTCGTGTTAGTTCAATTAGTGTCGAATGACATCTAATGTATGCGAGATGGAATATTGAAAATACCTCGAGTTTCGATAAACTCGTTTCGGTTAATGTATAAACTAGTTTATCTGGTCGTGTATTGGCTCGAAATAATAACACAGGTCGGAAAACTAGAGAACGGAAGAATAATTTAGTATACATGAAGATTAAAGATATGTTGGCGAGCATAATTATTGATATCATGTATACAGGCCCGACTCAAGTGTTTAAACAAACATAGGCGAAATTTAGTTTTTGCCGCCCCTTACGTGTAAATATTTTATCAAAAATTTTTTTTTTTATACATAAAAATTGTCCAGGAAAAATGCCGCCCTAGGCGTGGGCCTATGTCGCCTTCCCTTGAGCCAGGCCTGTATACGATTATCACCTTTTCTACGCACAGAAATAGTATTGTATTATGATTTATAACACACATACCGATGTTTTGAATGCAATCTATGATATAGTTTGTGAAAACGGTTTCGTTTTTGTTTCAAAATATACCGAGTCGATAAACGTGATAAAAACGATTTCACCTTGCACCACGCGATTATGTACAAGTACGATATAGCGATGACGTGTTTAACGCATTTTTCAGTATTAATAAACAAAGTCATGTACAATTTCAACGCGTCAAAGATTATAACGATTATAACGAGTGTAGTACACACACCACGTGCGTAAAAAAAAAAAAAAAATAGCGGTTGGCGTAATTCATAAGTAATTTGAAGTAGTTGATGGATTTTAAGAAATTTTTATGTGTTGGACAGTTATAAAACGTATTTATGTATTCGAAAATTACTTGTTTCACTACAAAATAATATTAAAAAATATAATAAATTGTATACGTAAATGGTTAACAGACAATATAGCTACTACTCGGTACACGTAAGTATGATGTATACGGCATAAACCGTCTCACGGTTACATGTTATCGCGTCAAAAGATTAAAAAATATACAAGACATCCGTGCTCTCTCCCTGTATACGTATATACATAAGTACTTAAAAACACGAGCCAAATCCTTGGGCGGGCTCTTGGCACGACAAAGGTTCAGTGCGATACACTTGTACGACGTATACGTGTTGGCAGTAACTGTTGGCGTAATCCATTTACGCGCTCAAAATGTGTTCTAGTTTTACCAACATTTTTTGAAAAATTTGCGCGCAGGATAAATATATTAGAGCGCTTGAATAGTACGCCTAATCGGTTTTACTTGATTATTTTTATTCGAAATGTTTTCGCATACTCGCGTGTCTGTACGCACATAGATACATTAATGTATAACCAATTGTGTAACAAATGTATAACACAGTTGTGTATCGTCATTGTCTTATAATATTGCAACACGCGTTGCGGTTCAAACGACCAATTCTGCATACGAGTGTACGGTGTATTGGTCTTGGATGTACGTTTTCTCGGCACGCTCTTACACGATATCGTGTAACAGTGTCGTGTGTACTTTGAACATTCTACGAAAAATATTTTCACTACTACTACCGTATTTTGAAACATATAAAAATAAACGACAATATCTGTTTTAAGTAAAAAGCAACGCGAATCGAAAACACATCGGTTCGTGTGTGCGTATCCTTTTACAGGTCGTATCATGGATATTATGTTCGTTTACAGAACACGTCGATAGATGTACGCGGGAAATATTTTTTACCACATGAACCCCCGGCACTTTTCAAGACTCGCGCGCCCCCGACCGGTATACGTACCTACAGTCTTTGCACACATTATGCGTTCTCACACCGATCCGATTCCGAATATTTCGTCGAACAAAAGTTTTGGTTGGCGAACCGATTGTTTGTAAAAATCGACAAGCCGTTCTCGGTGCGTGTGTCACGCGTGCGTACGGTGTTACGAGGGTACGTGCTGCTACGATTGGACGCGTAATTGTATTAAGTTACCGTAACGGATATAGGACGATAGAATATAAATATATTTGTACGTGTGTACGCGTATATACATATCGAACAAACAGTTTTTTGTCACCGTTCGGATTTGTTTTGGAGGAGCAAAAAACTCGGACCCGATAAAAGAAAAAGGTAAAAGAATTCTATTGAAACGCGCCTTGATGGCCAAGACAATACGTGAAAGATACCTGGACAAATCGCGGCTGCGTACCTGACGTGTTGTATACTTGCGGTTCATATATATATATATATATATATTATATACGAATTTACGGGGTAATATGCGGTGAGAATTATGTCACTGGGCCATACCACGATGTTTATTGCATTACGGGGGGGGTCCGTTCTTAAAAAAAAAAAAATCAAATAAATTTGTCTTAAAAAAAACACAATATAGGTCAGAAGAAAACGACAGTCCGTCGACCAATCGGCGGTCTCGTAATTTTCGTACGTCTGTTA